GGCATGCACAGCGGTAAGACGGGAAGGGACGTCATAGGGGGCTTCGCTCCACTAGTCACTAGATGCACAAACGACGACCAATCTGGTGCGTCATCTTTCCATGTTCTAGACGACGATTCATTCTCATTTTGCTCATTTGGTGACTGAGTAGTGGAGCGACGCCCACAGTGTAGAGAAGAGTATATAGGACGTTCAGCGGACGATGTTCAAAACGACTTTCTGGAAACTTGGAAGCTAGGCCGAAGGATAATTTGATTATTAACACAAATATTTTTATGACTCAAAACGACTTTCAAGGGGAGGATGTTCAATTGGAAAGGTAATTTGAGTCATGATATAGAATATAAATTGCGGTTTCTTTAGTCGCCCCCGATGATGCCAGAAACAGGTTTCTGTTTTCCGTCTAGACGACCGTTGTCTACCTCCTCCGGTTCGAAGAAGGTATGGACGTCAATCACGTCTGTATTCATCGCACTTTTGGGATCAGGTACAGTCGCAATGACCACGGTTCCTGTTCGGACGAAGACGTTAATCACGTCTGTATTCATCGCACTTTTGGGACCACGTACAGTGGCAATGACCACGGTTCCCTGATCGGACGAAGACGGCGGTGCAGTCTCTTCATCGGTGATGACGCCTTAGGGCCAGTGATGAGCACCATGGCATCTCATCAACTCTCAGCTCAAGCGCTTGTGACATCTGATAGAAAGCTTAGCACAGGAGAATTGTCACGTCTGCCACGCACATCAGGCACGCCTGACACGTCGCTCTGTGCGACGCACATCAGGCACGCCTGACTCGTCGGTCTGTGCGACGCACATCAGGCACGCCGCTCTGAGCGACGCACGTCTGACATGCCGCTCTTATGGGACGCACGTGTGACACGCAGGTTGTGTACGACCCAAGCCTGACACGCCGTTGTGAACAGCCATCGCACTGGCGCGAAAGACTCCTCTGGGAGGTAACAGCCAGTGTGGACTTGGGCTACTCGTCCTTCCTCTCCTCCTTCGGTAGCCCCTCCTCCGCTTTTTGCTGATGGATGCCTCCCCCCCACCTGTCAGAAGCGTATTCACTGTTGCCCCCCTCCTGCCAAGTATATAGTAGCCTGTTGTCGTCGCCCCCCCTCCGCCGGCGACTTGTGGCGCTTTAGGGCCCCGTCGCACTACTCGCCATCCGCCAGCATCTTGATTGCATGTGGACATCAGCTTTGTCCAGATGAATTCGAATTCTTGGCGGATGGCTTGTGTAACTAGGGCCTAAGCCGCCATACAGCTGCTACGAATAGTCGTAGGGCCTCGGTCCACCACCCACCGAATGCACACAAGACGAAAAATATGCCCCTATGCCCGTGCATCTTTCCATGTTTAGCGGGAGATTCATTCTGCGTTTGCGCATTCGGTGAGTAGTTTAGGAGCCGAGGACCATACGATCTCTCTTATTGCTCTCTGCGATCGGTGAGCCGCGCGACCGTAAAAGTGCATCCCCAGACTCACACTTTTTCTGGCGCGCGCACTTTTCTGAAGAGCCCGGAGAGTCTGTCTGATAATAGACACATGCGTATACACCCAGCCCATCTGGCTCGCTTACACACATTTAAAACAGCTCATGCTTACACACATTTAAAACAGCTAATGCGCTCGAGTCCCAGTGGAATGGAATCAGATGAGTATAAATGAATGTTAGGGCGCTGTCTTCCAAAAAGAAAGTGGGGAAAGACCAAAAAAAAATAAAAAGTTGTGTAATGAATGCCTCTGGCTACTGCTGGGTGAGAACTGAAACGCGGCTGTTGTTGCGGGAAAGACGTGATGATGAGAAAAAATCTGATGATGAGAAAAAAAAAATGTTTCACTCGTTACCACTATATGTGACCATGGTGGTGTCTTCGGGGCTCGCTGCACTACTCTTGACATGCACAAAAGACAAAAATCATGGTCCTGTATCTGTCCATATTCTAGCGGAAGATTCACTCTCCTTTTGCACGTTTCAAGAGTAGTGCGGCGAGGCCCTTCACCTCCTTACGTATGTAGCAGTGGAAAAGGGTTTGCTTGCTTGCTTGCTACCTCCTCGCAGTAAGATCAGACTGGATGGATCTGAGGACAATCAGAGAGGCAAGTGCACTCATGAATGGAGCTGGTATTTTCATCTCCGTATGTACCAAATGAAAGAAAAAAAAAAAAAAACGAAGAAAAAAGAAAAAAAAAAAGGGTTTGGGTTCCTCACAGTAAGATGAGACTTGATGATGGATCTGAGCTCAATCGGAGGCAAGTGCTGCTAGTAATAAGCCCAACGACTTGGCTGAGCTTGTTTAAGAAAAAAGTGGCTCTTCTTGAAAAAAAAAAGAAAAGAAAGTGACTCTTCTTTTCCTCAGTAGGTGCGAGCACAAGGAGATACCTGAGAGGCCAAGTAGTCCCATTTACCCGAATTGTCGATTTCCGGCCTTGGATGATGAGGATCATCGGCCAGAAATGAAGAGAATCTGGCCAAGTGGGATTTAGCTAGCCCCTGGATATTTGGCGATAAGTCACTGCAAATCCCCCCCCTCCCCCCCCCCCCCCCAAAAAAAAAAAAAAAGAAAAAAAAAAAAGACAGTACATAAGGTGCCTTCTTTCCGTCTGTGCAGATTCTGACTGAAATTATCTTTAAAGATTTTAAGGGTCACTGCCCATCACCCTGGATTATTCATTTTTCACCCTCGATTACGAAGATCAACGGTCAGATCAACGGTCAGAAATGAACAATAGGGGCTAGTGGGATCTGGCTTTAAGTTAGAGTAAATATGAGAAAAGGCATTTTTCTGTGAGAGTATCTGTGCCTCTGTAGAGGGGACTGAGAACGTGCAAGTCCACCGACCAATGGAATGAGCCTAGCTCAGTCGGTACACCCATGAACTGTAGAAATACAGACACCTACTGTCTTCACCCGTATAGGGGTGAACTCTGCCCCGTCATTATCGCCGCATGTGGACTCAAAGTTGGGCCGAATGCAGATGTAATGACCGGGCGTTCTATTCCGGTGAAGACGGTAGTTGGAATCCCACTGAGAGCTCAGAGGAGTGAAAGTAACTGTGAATTTAGCTGGGGCTGGTCGGTTTGAAGATGACATCTCCAGGCCATCGCCCTTTAACAAAAAAGAAGAGAAAAACGAGAACGAAAGAGGTAAAAAAAGAAAGCACGTGCATGTCTACGACTCGACGTGCACGTCTGAGGATGCCCTAGGCGTCTTGTGCAGACAGTTTGTTCCCCATCGTGGTGATCATGGCGTGTTGACTTTTGCCCCTAGGGGTGCTGTGAGAGGTTAATTGAACCTAGCACCATTTTTTAGAGGTAAAGAAAGAAATCGTAACAAGATTTCCATAGGTGAATCTGCGGAAGAAGGTTGAAATTAATAAGAAAAAAGAAGGAAATAAAAAAAGCAAGGAGAAGTAAAGGAGGATGTGCATCCATCAGGATATTCCAGGCCTCCAGTTGCACTTTCTGAGTTCTTTTCAGGGGGGTAAAGGATCTCGTAGAATACCTTTCAATATTTAACAAGTGAGCTTTTGAGATATTTTCCATCACAGCATGCACAGCTGTAAAGAATCACTTTCTGCTCTCAGTTTAGCCGAATATCCAGGCTGGCCGCCTTGTGGTGGGGATCTACCGTGGAAGAAATAAAAACACTTTTTGAGCTGCCTGCGCTTGCCTCTGATTGAGCTCACATGCATCGTGTCTGCGCATAACTTCTTGAGCTGGCTGCACCTGGCTCTGATTGAGCTGACATTGGAAGGAACAAAACACTTCTTGAGCTGGCTGCACATGGCTCTGATTGAGCTCACGTGCGTCAAGCCTGCTCATTCTTTGAGCATATGCCTACGACCCCTGCCGGTATCTTTTCATCGTTCATCTACGTAGATGAATATACCAGCCGTAGTAAGTGGAGGCGATTTCTCATTATCACTGCTTTGCGGCACTCCAGTCCTCAATGCTGCTCCGGAAGTCGCGATTCGGCAGGCCCAGCAATAGCCTGGCTGGCATTCGCCGGGCATTCGTCATACACATCGATCGCTGTGTTTCAGTACGCCCAGCAGTAGCCAGGCGTTCCCCGAATGCTCTCCCTGGGTCCAATGTCTGAAGCATGGCTCTGTTTCTGGCTTGTCCTGGATGATGGTGGGTCCTCCCAAGGGGCAATTGATTGGGCCTCTGTGCTTGTAGGGTATTTTACTTACTCCGCCTCTTATTTTAGCCCACTGCTGCTACCACGAATGTGTGGTGTCTGCGCTCATGCACGTGTCTGTCGCCTCTTATTTTAGCCCACTGCTGCTACCACGAATGTGTGGTGTGCGCGCTCATGCACGTGTCTGCCCGCACTAGGAACGCGGGGTTGGACAGAGCAACAGTTGTGACAGTTGTGACAGTTGTGACAGTTGTGACAGTTGTGGTTCAAATTCTGGAACAATGTGGAATTTCTCTCAGATTCTCTGGAAGGATGCTCTTGCTCTGCTTCGCGCTGTGGCATAAAATTCTCTTTATGGGATGGTCGTTTGGCTTCACAGTCCAGCACCCCCCTCCCCGCCCACCGGTCCTCTTACCGCACTTCCGCCTGTGTGAACGGGCTACCTCTGCCGTCGCCTCCTCTGGCAGACACCTTGTGTCCCTTGCTGTGGTTGATTCTTCTTTTTGTGTTCTCTCTCTCTCTCTTTGCTGAAGTTCTCGGTATGTTGGTCCTCCCTTTGGCCAGCCGTCCCCGCCAATTAAATAGCCCTTCTTGATTCACTCACTCGTTTCCACACATGGTTCTAGAGGGTAAGAGGGAGAGTTGTCTTGTCGTCTTGACTCATCCAGGAATCGGTTGATTGATGCCTTTAATTGATCAAATCATTCATTCCACGGGTGAAGGTGGTTGCGGTGCGTTGTCTTCTGATGCAAAAGTGTGTAACCCACCACAGTGATAATGCTTGAATGAAGAAGGAAAACAGCCAAGGGGGATTTAAAGGCTTTGCTATGGTGTCTGTGTGCCTGCAGGTTAACTGATCTGGATCTGTCGAAATGTCGGATGATCGACAAGACGTTGATTTCCCTTTCCAAGGGTCTGCGGCACATCCAACGGCTGGATTTGTCGGAGGCAATGATCACTGACATCAGCCTCATCGCCCTGGCAGGCAGTTGTCGCCACTTGGTGAGTTTGATATTGAGTAGGTGTACATTAATTACAGACGATGGGGTCACCATTCTTGTGAGGAGCCTCGGTCAGAAACTGCAAAGCCTGAACCTTTCAGGCTGCAAGCGAATAACGGATGCGGCCGTCGGTAAGGTCACCGGCCATTGCCGGCAATCTCTACGGGAGTTGCATTTGGGACACTGCAATGAGATCACTGATGCGGGCCTCGCGAGTTTCGTTGCGGGAAAGCCATTCACAGCTTTGCAGACCCTGGGACTCGATTTCACTTCGCATATTACGGATGCCGGGATTGCTGAGGTGGCCAAGGGTTGTCCGTCTCTTACACGCCTTGATATCAGTGGCACATCGATTACCGATAGCGGGCTGGAGATGATAGCTGGCAAGCTCAGCAAACTGGAGCATCTGATAATTACGCAATCGGGACGCGTGACGGACGAAGGAGTAGTTGCGGTGGCACGGAAGGGCAGGCTGAAAACTTTGGTGGTTGGCATGCTGCCCCCGGGGCCTCCAAGAGTGGCGATGAACGATGCCTGTATGTCCGGTCTGGCGCTCTGTGGGTCTTTGGAGTCGTTGGAGCTGGACTCGTGTGCGGACATGACGGACGAGGGATTAGCCACGGTGGCAAGAGGTTGTGGCAAGCTCAAACATCTGACGCTGAGGAGTTGCGATAACGTGGGAGCAGCAGGGCTGTCGGTCGTCGGGGATTGTTGTTCCGGTCTCGAGAAACTGAAGTTGTATGGCTGCAGCAGGGTGAATGATGAAGCGCTGGGATGTATCGCGAGATGCAAGTCGTTGCGCAGCCTGGAGATCGATAGCACGGAAGACTCGGCGACCGACGCGGGCTTGTTCGCCATCGCTACCGGTTGTCCTCGGCTCGTCAGGGTTCAAGTAGGTTACAACAACAAGTTTGGAGATGATGGGATCTCCGCCTTTCTGAGCCAGTGCAAATTCTTGGAAGAGTTGCACTGTGCAGGTAGCCGGAGGATCACGGAAGCAGCCTTTGAGTCGGTTTCGTGCTCGGCGTCGCTGAGACGACTAGTGCTGAAACGCATCAATTTGGCGGACGACGGTTTGATGATGATAGCATCCAAGTGTTCGGGGACGCTTATTCATCTTGATGTCACTGATTGCCCAATGGTTTCAGATGTGGGCTGTAGATGGATAAGCAACTGCTCGCGGCTTGAGAGCTTGGTGATGGACAGGTGCAGGAGGGTCACGGACACTGGGATGGCGGCCATCGCAAGTGGTTGCAGGGCCTTGCGAACGCTGAGTGCGGAGGGCTGTGACGGCATCAGCAATGTGGGCATCAAAATAATCACGGAAGGATGCAGATGCCTCAGAGAAGTGAAGGTGAAAAGAATGTAGTCGGATGCCGCTGCATGCAAACATCTGTGCAATGCACTTTCTGTTTATTTCCCGTCTTTCGTTTCCCACTTGTTCTCAGGAGTACCAGCTTTCTTTCAGGCTCCGAGAACGATTGCAGAGGTGCCCGTGTAAAGTGATCCTCTCTGTTTACGTGCTATGGCACTGGCTGGCATGGCTGTTGTTGTTGTTGTTGTTGTTGTTGTTGTTGTTGTTGTTGTTTTTTTTTTCTGGGGTACAGAACACACCAGCAACGTAACGTACCCACGCAAGGTGAATCAAGTTCCCGCAGTTACATGAAAAGGGGAGTGAAACTTGGCAGCCTGTATTTTGGAGTTTCATCTTGTTCCTTCGCTGTCTGTTGTGTCTTTCTTCGGCCCAGGTGTCTGCTGCCCCTTTTTTCATTAGGACGGGGATATCAGCACGAGCAGGGAAGGGGGTCCATTCTTTTTCATTGCTTTGAGTAATGGATGCACCTGATTCCCTTTGTGGATCTGCCCCTCAGTAGGAGAGGCAAGATGAAGTTTGTTTTCTTTTTATGGTGGAGAGAGAGAGAGAGAGAGAGAGAGAGAGAGAGAGAGAGAGAGAGAGAGAGAGAGAGAGAGAACTGCCACTTTTGGTTCTGTTCCTGTGGTTAGGTGGCCATTCATGAGAGAGAGAGAGAGAGAGAGAGAGAGAGAGAGAGAGAGAGAGAGAGTTGCCACTTTTGGTTCTGTTCCTGTGGTTAGGTGCCATTAATTCCTGGCGAGCACGTCGTTGTTTCTTCAGCTACGGTTGTTAGATTTGTTCGAGGAATAATCACCGGCAAGAATGGGCATGATCGAGATGGTGGGTTAGGTCGTAGATTTGCGCAACGATGTGCATAAAGCTGCTCTGTGGAACAGGGCATTGATTTATGTAAGGGTTGAGTCATCACCAGAATTGTGATGCCGTCACAGTTTGCTGGCACCGAAGTCGTCGGGGCAACATCGTGAAGAATGGGCAATGTCGCACCTTGCAGGAAACTGTCTCCTTTGTGCAGCCAGCGAACTTC